TTTATTGGTGATTGAAAAGGGCTTAAAAACCCCATTAATGTTGTTTTGTACCGTTGATATTTCTATCAAAAATAGAGATTTAAAAGAGAACAAGTGAACCCCTATTACGAGGAAGGAACACTTGCGAGTACGTGGTATTTTAGTCCTTTTTAAATATACTCAACTATATATATATATTTATCATATAGAAAGTAATACCACATAACTTAATAGTTTGCTTTCCAAAAATAACATTTATTACATACAATACCCCGTTTAGAAAACACGTTTCTAAGGTTACATATTGACAACCAAGAGTTACAACAAAGGTCACGGTCATAAAACGTCTACAAAACTGCAAACATGTTGTCAACAATACACAATTTTAACAATAAATTATCCTCGGCATTAGATATGAAGTATTATTTTCATGTTATTCTCTAAAGAAAGGAAGAAACGAGTTGTGAATGGCAAGAATTGACTAAAACAACCTTGGTTAGCTGTTTCAAATCTTTACAAGACTCTGCACGTAACTGTTTAATAAAAGTAACTTGAATTCATATAAATGTTAGTTAATTAAATTATTTCAAATTAATTTCAAGTCACGTTTTTGGAAGATACATAACCAGCGGACATCTCTTTTCAGCGGACTTCTCATCAGCCGAAAAGATGTTCTGAATATATATATATATATATATATATATGTATGTGTGTGTAATAAAAACAATTTTCTATAAATTTCAGTGTTATTTAAATTGTTTTAATGAAATATTCTGTAAGTAGCAACCGGTTACAGTAACTCTTAACGTATGTATTATGTCATTAAAGCCTGTTACATTTGTGTCGTCCCTTAGCGGGTTAGCGGTAAGTCTGTGGATTTACAACGCTAAAATCAGGGGTTCGATTCCCCTCGGTGGACACAGCAGATAGTGCGAAGTAGTTTTATTATAACATATACATACATCCATTTCTGTCTGACAGACTTTAAAGTTATACATCAGTAGATTGACAATTACGTCACGAACCCGGTTGCTCGTACGATAATATTTCATTAAGACACTCCGAATAAAGATGGAATTCGTATTAGAACTTGTGCACTGAGTTGGAGAGGCTTAACATTAGATGTTTTCCAATATATTACATATATACCAAAATGTTTCTCACCCACTAGTCTGACACATTTCATTCATTAAAAATTTTGGTAGCGCTACAAATAATTCCAAATATTATATAAAACTATTTATATTTATAATTTACCGTTAGGTAAACATATATTTGGGGGTCAAAATATTATCTTCAACCAAATATTTTTTTTTTTCGTAACTCAGTCTTGAAAACAGTATAAGCCGTATATCTACAGCTAAATCGCGAAATAAAATAATGAATTACGCCCAGTGTCTTACGTCTACAAAACTAGGTTCAAAGTAAAACTGGAAGTAGTACATTTAAACTTGTAACTGAAAAGTTTTTTTTTTATATCCAATGTTATAATTTTTTTGTTCAGGCACGACTTGAGAAGATGGATAGAAAATAATCGTCAACATTATAAAAAACATTTTTTTATCACGTTAATTAAATTATTTATACCAAACAGTAGTGGTCTCTTTACGAAACAACACGAAGACAAATGAAAACTAATTAAATTAAGTTTTTCTGATTAGAACTTTAGAGAAAAACTGTAGTTGAAATACAGAGTAACATAAAAATAACTGAAAAAAAAATGTTAAACTCTCTTGAAATGTAAAATATATTTTTTTAAGTATAAAACAAAAACGAAACATTTTAAAACACATTGCAAAAAATAACAGCATTTAATTAATTAATTATAAACTTTTCCTTCAGATATGCATGAAATGATAATTAAATAACGGGTAGTTAACACTGAGAAACGGTACCTATTTTAAATATTAAATATTTTGTTAGGTATAGATCCAACCCCGGATTTCAGCATCGGAGTACAAGATTGAAAAAGTTTAAATTGGTTTCATTATTTTGAGTAGAAGCCTTTTTCTATGACTAGTTATATAACCAATAATTGGCTTTGTGGACAAGTGCTGTACAAAGTGCACAGTAGAACGGTTCATTAACTTTTAGGCATTCTGTACAGAGTCGAACCAAGTTCATAGTGTGACAACTTCCAATATGTCACCGTTTCCCCAAACATTTCTCATCTATGCCCTCCATCTTTTTTTTTTTTTTCTTTTTCTTTAATGAGTGAAAGAGTTAAGTGACGAGATGTAACACACGGATACACATTAAAATGCTATATGTGTGTGGTTATTACTTATTATTTTAATTAATAAAAATATATTAGAACACTTTATGTTACATCATTACACTATTGACCTTCCTAATCGCTCGCGCCTCACTGAGGATGGCACCCCCATACCTTTAGAAACGTGGCAAAAGGTAACTTACTTTTTACTACGTGTGAAAGCTTTACTGGAGCCAGCTACGAAGTCACAAAATCTCCAATTTAAAAGGAAAAAAACTAATAAAACTAAAATCGGATTATAAGTTTCAAAACTTCTTCAAATATTTTTCTGTACCTGTTACGATTTTATTAATGAAAGGTCACACTTTTCACACAAACTTTACGTTATCGTTTAATTGTTGCTACCTCGTAATATTTAAATTGATTGAAAACTAAGTACTTGATTGTATAATCTTAACCTTAAAAATATAAGATATACGACTTCTCAACATGAAATACTTGTCACTGTACATTCTCGTATAATACGTCATAGTAAACAATGTTGATTGGTTGTAAGCCACGAGGTGTAATCTGTTTGTTGCCCTACGGTAGGGAGAAAGTCAAAACTGTCGTCATTTCCACAAACAATCTTCGCGCCTTCTAGTCGGATTTGAGATAAACCTTTTATAATGGCGGTTTGATTTTATTCGTCATTAACGACGGATTTTCTCGAAACGCAAACACTATACTAAATGTGAAATTATCTTCTGTGTTCGGATAAAAAAATTGTGTGCAAATATTTGCTTTTTATCAAAATGACTTATTTCAAGACACCGGTGTAGGAAGGCACAATTTTACAGATGACAATCGGTTTTAAATGACACTTTTTTTTTTTTTTGTGCGTGAGTGGAAACGTGAAACGCAGGCACGTGGAGTACGATCAGGTTGCTACGAGGAACACCATAACAACAACCTATAAATTCAACGATATTCATGCCAGTGAAATATACCTTGAAATGAATACACGGAAAGTCTTTAATTATATTCTACAGGTGAACAACAATATGAAGAGTGCGTGATGTTCTCCAGATTAGCAACAATTGAAATTGTGCTTGATGTACAATAATTATGTTCTACAGGATGAACAACAATATGAAGAGTGCGTGATGTTCTACAGATGAACAACAATATGAAGAGAGCGTGATGTTTCCAGATTAACAACAATTTGAAATTGTGCTTGATGTACAATAATTATGTTCTCCAGGGCAATAATAGTATGAAATCCTGTTGTTATATATATATATACAATATTATATTCCTCATTTGAAAAGAACACCTAGTGTGATTTTTTTTTTCACTTTAATAATTGTATAATAGACCAGAAACTTGACAACTGTGTATAGGAGAATAGAAAAACAACGACCTTACTACAAGACGGGATAGCGACCTGTATATGGAAGAAAAGCTTGTTTGCTTGTTATTAAGCACAATGTAACACAATGGGGTGTCTGTGAGTTGCACACCGCGGGTATCGAAACCCGAATTTTAGCTCTGTAAACAGGGGAAACCGTGAATTAAGACTCAAAACTTTAAAGCACGGTGATATAAAACTTCAAATTCTGAACTAAAAAACCCCATAAACTTCTATTTAAAACACAAGTTGTAGGTATTAACCATAACGTGTTTAAAGTAAGTTAAAATAATATCTGCACGATGCTCGAACGTCTAGTAAGGTCTGTCAACAAAAAATAACAATAACTGTTGTTCTTCTGTAAGAAAATTCAAAGTGTTTCATCGGAGAAAACTAACCTTTGAAGTTTAATTTTGTTCTCTCTAAAGATCGGAAAGAGAATTTGAACAAAGAACTACCCGAGTGAACCCACACTATTTACCTGAAAGCGAAAACAACAACAAAACATTAAATACAAAGTTTAGATTTTGAAATAAATAAAAAAAAGAAAAACAATGAAAAGTGTTACAAATCCAAATGGCTGAAGTATAGTCTGAAAGAGAGAGAGAATGTGCCATTAAGAGTAGTAAGAGAAACGAGGAGGGGGGGTAAAATTCTACAATATGGAAATTACGTCATAATTATAACGTCGGGAAAAGTTCACTCCATATTTTGTATAATTTTCTGGTAAAGAATATTAAATTCATATTGCTTAATTTGTGAGAGAACAAGAGAAGTGTGTGGCCATGTTCGCATTTATGACTGTGTGAATAAATATAAAATTTATATGCCTTTTTTTTTTCTTCACAGAACGTAATTGGAAGCACATACAATGTAATCACAATAATTTTGGCACAAAACAGTAGCGTATCCGAGGGAGTCTAAGAACCCCCACCCCCTCGTTTCTGATTTTTCAGTTTGACGAGAGTGTATAGTATATTTTGAAAAAGTGGTCTCTATTTTTAATTTTTCATAGCACATCCAGGAAGGGGGGGGAGTCCAAGAACAACCCCTCTTCTACCCCGCGTTTCTGATTTTTCTACTTGACAGTAGCGCGTGGTACATTTTGAAATAATGGTCAGTTTTTAAGTTTTTCAATATCGATATTCAGATACAATTTTAAAGTTACCTTTCTTTGAAAACCTGCAGGTGAAAATTTAGAAATAGTTTTTTTTCACAATTTCTTGAGGAGGTGGTAGTTTTCTTAGCGCAAAGCTATACAATGGGCCCTCTGCACTCTACGCATCGAATCTTGGATTTTAGTGCTTTAAATCCCTAAGCCTACCGCTGACCAATGGTTTAGCGGTATGTCTGCGGACTTGCAACGCCAAAAACCGGGTTTCCGTACTCGTGATTGACACAGCACAGATAGCCCATTGTGTAACTCGTTGCTTAATTACAAACAAGTCAATTGAGGGACCCAATTTATTGAAAAATTTATTTTAAAATCTTCTCTGAAATATCTATTTGGTCACGCATCATTAGCGATTTCATGCTCCATGGACAGACGGATTTGACCATCTGACTCGGGTAATCCTGGATACGCCACTGCAAACAAAAAAACAAAACATCTATATAAATGCTAAAATTACCAGTAAAACCATAACTCATTGTACATGAAAGACATGACCTGCCACCTGATGGCGAAAATAGTTATTTATTTCCACTAGTCCTGTTTGGTACGTGTAGCGAATTTTCTTATCGGTTTTGATTGTAGTTGACGTCTTCGGCATTACGACACTCTTCCAGGAAGGACGGTTGAATACGGTACATCCCCGTGTCAGCCTGATACAGGAGTGTTTCTAAGATTCGTTCATTACTTACTGTCTTCGTGGGTAAGACTACCTAAAAAAAAAACAAAAAACAAACGAGGAATGAGTCATGGAACTATTTTAGTTTAGCATGACAATTAATAGTTTACAGAAAGCTGTCTGAAAACTTTCAACCCTAAGCACAAAGCTACACATTTTCTATATTTGTAAGTCCGCAGACGTGCCGCTGTGCCACTTGGGGGCACCAACCCCATTGAAAAGTAATAACTTTCACCAATTAAAATAAGTAAGTTCTATTTAAAATAATTTAGCAATATTGTGTCTGGCGTTATATGAAACATAAGCACCACTCCAGTGATAAGATTGAGGGGTTATTTATAAGCCTAAAGTACGAAGTTTGATCCCTTTTGTTTGCACGTCGCAGATAGCTTATTGTACAGCCTTACACGTAAGATGAAATAAACTATTAAAATATGTGTCGTTCACTTTAAGTTACAGATTCAGTCAATGACTGACGTAAAACCAGAATTGCCAAAGAAATGCTTGGATAAGATATTTTGTATTCATTACTTGGAAATATTTCGCACATCACGTGACAACAAATATATATATATATATACACACACACACAGAGATGCAACATTCCCTTGTGAGTGTATGGGAATATGTCAACCACACTATAATTGCTATATCCAGTCCGAAGAGGCTGTTCTCTTCAGGTAGGTTGGGAAATGATAGCTATTGTGGTGACTGAGAAGCGATGTATTATAAGTAAATTGCATGTCGTAGTTACGATTGTTGTCAAAGTTTCTATAGCTGAAATACGTAAGATAAAGGCAATTATTCATTAAGTATTTAGGAATATCCTAATTAAAATACACAACCCGTTTGATGAACTGATAATTAAATGACTTATAGATCCACTTATTAAAGGTGGACAACACCTGTCCAGGAAAGGATCACATAAGCCTAGTGAAGGTCCACTAACTGGATCAAAGCGTTATTTTGATCACCAGTTCAGCGTTATAACACTTGTTCAGGAAAGAATCACATAGGTTTGGTGAAGATCCATGATCTGGATTAAAACGTCGTGTGCTCACCAGTTCGGCATTACAACACTTGTCCAGGAAAGAACCACCTAGGCCTGATGAAGGTTCCCAAAACAGGATCAACACGTCATTTAATTACCAGTTAAGCAATTGTGTTTTCAGAAAACTTGTACAGAAGAAACAAAAACAACAATAAAAAAAGAAAACAAATAAACATAGGCTTGTTTACCAGACAGGTTATCCATCCGAATAACTTTTTACGGCACAATTACATTTGCGGCATTCTTTGTTTATTTGAATTGTATTAAAAAAAATAGTAACCCTTATCAGAAGTAACCTTCAGAGGGCTTCAAATATAAAATTAATTAGCTTCAATTGTCTGTACTAACCTTTATAAGTTCCTGAGGAGGTATTTTATACAGTTTGAGGTCGCGGGTTAATCGATTCATTATGCAGTGGAGCTCCCAGGGATCTGGAAGAAACAAAATAGAACCCTCGAAGATGTATATAACCCGAAGGTTATCAAACACATTAAAAATACATCTAAAACCGGAATGTTAATACGATCAGATTAACCAGTTTCAACCAGAATGATTTTGTTCTTAACAGTGAACTAGGATCCCGTTTCGATTCCCGCATCGATCACTATGCGGAGATAAAATTGTACAGTCCAGCATTGAAAAGTAAATATAGATGTACTGCGTGTAATGTGGGGTTATATACGACTACAAGCTGTGTCAATATCACACATATTTATTATTTATTTTATTTCCCCGCTTAATTTTAAATAAACCTCTCGAACTAATATTAATTCTCAAAATATAACGGTTTTATTTTTTAAATATTTGGAGTAGACCAGAAATGCAAAGGCGCATAAATAAATGGCAATTGAATTCATTAAACAATTAAAATCATTTTATAGTAAATTTATATCGTGATGACTGTGGTTCGAGACTATGTTGTTTAAAGCAATAAAACTTCCTTTGTGTTAACTTAACGCCCATATATCGTGATGACTGTGGCTCGAGACTATGTCGTTTAAGCAATAAAACTTCCGTTGTGTTAACTAAACGTCCATATATCGTGATGACTGTGGTTCGAGACTATGTCGTTTAAGCAATAAAACTTCTGTTGTGTTAACTAAACGCCCATTTCTAGTTCTTTAGATTGAAATATTCGGTATATGTTTTCCAACATAACGAGGCTTAACGTTAATCGACCAAACGCGGAAAAACTACATAATAAACAAAAATTCTAATATCGTTTTTAAGCTACTTATTTAAGTCCAACATCTGGCCAGGTGGTTATATTGCTGGATTCGCAATCTGCGGGTCGCTGGTTCGAATCCCCGTCACACCAAACATGCTCGCCCTTTCAGCCATGGAGGCGTTATAATGTGACGGTCAATCCAACTCTTCGTTGGTAAAAGAGTAGCCCAAGAGTTGGCGGTGGGCGGTGATAACTAGCTGCCTTCCCTTTGGTATTACACTGCTAAATTAGGGACGGCTAGCGCAGATAGCCCTTGTGTAGCGTTGGTTTAAGAACAATTTACAGTAGAGCCATTCATTAAATCTCTTAAGCTTAATATCACGGATTTAGATAGCATAACATATAAGGGGACCTCCACCAGCAGTTCAACGGTAAACTTGGAGACTTATAACTTAAAAGTTTTGGTTTAGTGTTGGGCACAGTGCAGATAGGTTATCGTGTAGCTTTTCGTTAAAAAACAACAACATTTAAGGCACAGTTCATCTCTTTTTATTACCACTAGGGCGGTTACAGGCTAATTTTTTAATTAGTTTCTAATTATTAAAAAAAAAAGATATTTTACTCATTTGTATGAACCAAATTTTCATAAATTACTTCAGAAGATAAATCCCGTTGTTACGAAAACGCGCCCCGCAATTTGTGGCCATGGGTGTTTTGTAAGAGTGAAGGTAAAATCCCATTATTCGGCAAAGGGTTGGCGGTGGGTGTTGTGGATTAGCTACCTTCCTTTTAGTTTATCATTTGAAAGTAAGAGATGCATATGTGCAGAACGGTCATTGTAACGTATGGTTATCTTACAACCTGATTAAAGAATTTAACAACGCCCTCTGGGTAGGTTTGATAAATAATGCGATACAACAAGACTATGTATATTACTAATTCAGTCTCAAAAAACGTATGAGACATGTCGATTTTTTGTTTTTTAGAGCAGAGCCACATTTGGTTATCTGCTGTTAGACCTGATGGGAATCGAACACTTTTTGAAGGATGTAATTAACTATTTTTGTTGTCTCGTTCTGATAAGCTGCATTTTTAATATCAATAACAAGTTATTAACACGAAAATTCTTGGTTTTGTTTACACTTACTGTTTCGATTATTCCTCTGGATTTTGTTTTTCGCCCACTGGAGCATCATTTCGAACTTCCGAACTTCTGGAATATTCAGTTCTCGTCCGATCACCATTTGGAACATGGATTCGGAAAGAAAGAAAAATTCTTGGCGCGAAAACAGCTGTGTAGCCCTTGTGTCAGTGAACATCAGAATCATGTTTACTAACTCAGAAGCTGAGTTGTACCTCCAGTAGTAATTCTCAAGAATATTCAACATTGGACAAACCTGCCAAATATGAAAGAGGTAAGTAAACTACTTCGGGCCTAAATTCTAACGGCAACTTGTACTATAAAGTTTACACTAAGCTATAGTAATAAAAGACACTGGATGGATATTGTTTACAAGATGGAATCCTCAATAGCCGCGGCACTTGAAATTCTTTTAGGCCGGATTATAGTAAATTAATCTATGAGACCTTTGGCGTGGTCAAATACATCAGTTGAAAGGGTTTGACCTTCTGAAGCCAAAAGTGTAATTAGATCTCAAATCGGTCAAGAGACGACGGAGGTACGAGCTAAAAGTTTCTAATAGAAAAAAACGACAACAACAACAACAAAAATAATTGGAGCTGTTCTGTAAGCCGCTATATGGCGACTAAAAGTGTAAATTTGATTAATGATAGTCTCTACCTAACTTGCAGCAAATTAGCCTCCATATATTGTCTAAATTAGCGTGTATAAGTAAAGATAAAATAGCTTGTAAAAAGGTATTTAATATACATTTCTTTTTGCCCAATTTAAAATTCAAAATAATATCTATGGCGTACAGGCCCAGTGCATTCTTTGATTGCCCGTATCCCCTGCTGTGGACAGTTTCATCTATTCAAAGCTCATCAGCAAACCAAAGAAATAAAGACAGGACTCTTATAATTGTGATGTATGTAAAATATTTATGGGACTTTTGAGTTCCTATTTTTGAGAAAGATAGTCTACACATAGCCACAGCAACACCAGCTTTCAGATGTACTTAAAAGTATTAGTTTGGAAAAGATAACCATACTTAAATGCAGTATTTTATCTACTTTTAGCGGTAAAGAAGGCTTGAGTAAAAGTCCGACACAGTTCTTCCAGTCTGAAGCACCCTTTACATAAATAACGTTTCTTTATTTAGAATTTTTCTTCCCAATTCCCCACCCTTCCTCCATCGAAGGAAGATGTAATTGCTGAAGGTGTCTTCATGAAGATGGCATGCATCAACACAGTAAAAAATATATACTCACCACTGACAATCGTAAGTTCTGTTTGGCATGGTGGAAACAAGACTGGAGCAGCTCTGGTAAATCGTAGTGTTCTGCAGCACAGATAAGGCCAGGAATGGAGTTACACGTCAGAACACAAGAGCCAGTGTGGAGGTACTCAACCAGCGTGTGGAACGTTTCGCTGTCAAACTCGATGACGTCAAACTGAAATTTGTAAACTTGATAAGAGTTACGGTAATATTGTAACCTGGGTATCAAAGGGCAGTTAAGACAGTTAAAGTGTTTACTTATTTTGAAGATTTCATGTGTGTCAAAGTGTCGGCAGAAAAATGTGAAATCGCTTCCATACCAGGTGCCCTCTTTTTTTCCCAGTGGCTCAGTAGTAAGGCAAAGGGCTTGCAATGCTAAACCCGTGGTGGGCAGTTCACAGATAGGCTAGCTTCTATTTTTGTGCTTAAGAACAGACAAACCAAATCCAGATGAATAATAAAGTTTCTCCTATTCCGCTCTTTGTCATTTCTGGCTCGCCCAATCGTAGGATAACAGTTCGGAGATAAGAATCGTATGTTTGGAGTCACGAGCAGGTGTCCTGTCTTTGTACACACGGTTAGAAACCGAAATTATAGCATTGATCTGTATATCGAACGTTAAATAACCAACAGGGCATAAAATGGGTTAACTGTAATGATGCCAAGAACGTATCCAATGAACCAACACCATATGCGTGAATGTTCCTTTTTTTTTAGATAAACGATATATACTCGCTTGGAAAAAAAACTTGGAACCGGGTGAAACCTATTTTCTTACAGAAACATATAGTTTATTTAACAATAATTGTCATACGTACCGGTCAGTATACCTTGAAGAATATCAATTCTTCAGGACTACATCCACTGACTCTTTGTGTTGTAATAAACTGGTACAACCGACTCAGAGTTCACCCGAAGGAATAATAACCCTTTCGTGTTAAATTAGTCATTAAATTCCTTGAAGAAGAGGGTATTAACCTAATGGAGTAGCCAGTATGCTTGCTGGACTTCAGTCCCATCAGGCGTGTACGAGATGGTTTTGGGAGACGCGTTGCATTCCACCAAATAACCCCAAACATTAAAGATGGCTGAACACAACTTTTTTTTTTTCTTTAGAGTAGTGGTCACCAGTACTGTAATATTATGCATGTTCGTGTTGATCATACTCCTTACTAAAGTGAAATGAGCATGAATTATAAAGAAGTAAAACCGCCATTACAAAATGTTTATCTAGGAGCATAGGTTTAATAACCAATTATTTAAATTTAAAATCACATTATTTTGAAGACTTGTATGCATAAACAATAACTGAAGTGGATGATTGATACGCTTATTTCATTCTGTCCTAGTTTTTATCTGAATTATTATTACACTTTAATTGTAACGTCTGTTGATAAGGCAAGTTAGATAAGACTAATTAAAGTGAATGATAAAAAACCGACAATAATGTTAGTGGTAATCGAGAACCTTCTATTTTTCACTTGTTTTGACAGAGCCTTTGAGTGTTAACTGTATACGAGATTACCATAGAAACCGCTAAAACATCATTATTATCACTAGTATTCTTCTATTAGGGTTAATAAATTTAGTCAAGATCTTGTACTTCGTTATACAAAAGTGTGCCACATTTATTTATTTAGCTCAGTTAAGCCTTTTACGCGAAAAACGTCGTAACTGGTATATTATTGTCTTTGTATTTTACAACTTGTATGTAGTGGAACTACAGAAGAATTCTATTAGTATTCGAGTGATTCCACCCACATCAAACATTCAATTAACTATACCAGTGGTCCCCAATTATTTTTCAACACTGGGTCACTTCAAAAGATGATTTATGAAATCAAGGGCCATGTTGGGGCATACATCACTCCCCGAAAATAGTTTTCCTTATGTTTGCAATATCTGAAAATAGCGCGGGCCATGAATCAGGATTTCGAGGGCTTGACGTGGCCTAACACTGAATTGTAGTGTTACGAGTGGCACCAGAAGATAATTTAAGTTATTTATTACTTTGAACCTTAGAATCCTTGATAGGGGTACGATCAACCCTCCCCCCCCATTGGTTTTTTAAACACTTTTCTCAGTACTTG